ATGTGTTCATTCTCTGGGGGGCAATTTAAATAGCCTGTGGGAGTGGTCCTGGCCTTCCCTGGAGCGAGGTTATCATTTGGTGGGCTTTCTTGATCCTCCCTGAGGAGGAGTCACCATTTGGGCAGGCTTTCTTGGAGATGGGGTTTGGACTGAGACAACTCCCCAGGGGAGGGGGCTTATGCCAGGAGCTGGGGTGAAGCCCCCAGGCAAACAATCCAGACTTTTTGTATAAAGGGGTATTAGGGAGCTGGGGTGATGCTTCTGACCAAACAACATTAATTTTTACCACATTGGTCTGTGGATTCAGTGCAATCCCAATAAAAATCCTAAACTATGTGTGTTTAACAAACATTGTTTAAAGCCTATGTAGAAGGATCAGAGTGATATAGCCCTGGCCTAGCATGCCTGAGTCCCTGCATTCAATCCTCAGTTCTAAAAACAAAAACCTTATGTGGAAATGGAAAGGGCCAAGAATAACCAAGATAATCTTAAAAGTTAACAATCAAGATAATCTACAGTATCAAATTTATATTACATTATAAAACTATATTAACTGTGACAAGATGCAAGGACATTGATGCAATGATAAAGGAATAGGAAGTCTAAAATACACACCAACATAACCAACACAAAGGTGACTTGGCAGTGTAGTGGGGAAAAAAATGCTACCCTCCAGAAACAGTTCTGGGTCAAGCTAGCCACTCAGGAGAAAAATACAATCAAGATGCCTTACAAAATAAACTGCAAGTGAATTATAAATCCAGATCTGAATGACAAAACAACAAAGCTTCTACAATATAATGTATATAATCTTCATGGCATTATAATATGGGAAACTTTTGAAGAGACTAAAATTCAATGAAGAAAAAATTGATAAAATTTCTCTTTATTGGGGAATATTTCTGGGCTGAGCGTGATGTTGTGCACATGTAATCCCAGTACTCTGGAGGCTGAGACAAGGGAATATCATGTTTGAGTTGCAGGCCAGTTTGGACTACATGGTATTATTCTTTTGGTTTCTGGTCCCTTTAAGGGACAAGCCACGCCTACTCCCAGTGACCTCTGACCCCTGGCCTGCCATTTTGAATCTCTCTCCCTGTCCCTTCTTAGTGTGCGCACACCTCTCTCTCTCTCTCTCTCTCTCTCTCTCTCTCTCTCTCTCTCTCTTTCTCTCTCTCTCTTCTCTAAGTAATAAAGGTTCAGTTCTGATTCATACTCTGTGTCTGTCACATGTCCCTACCCACATGCCCACTCACTGTTGGGAATCCGCCACCACTCAGGTGGTGGGACCCAGGACCTACTGTGAGCTGCTCTGTGGCCTGTGGCCCGTGGCCCAGCACCCACCCCGCTGTTCTGCGAGCCCATCAGGAACTTGCAAGCATTTCCCGCTGTTAGCTGCTCAGGGAACTGCCTGGGGATCTTGGGCAGGCCACTCGGGAACCGCCCGGGGATTTTGAAACATTAATTGGTGCCATGACTCGGATGATTCGCCAGCCCCAGACATCCACCCGGGCCCGGGGTTTCCAACTTCAGGCCCCATCTGGGGGTTGGGACTCTAAGCTCTGACTTCTGGGGACGAATTGTAACCAAGGACCTTCTCAACAATGACCCACATGTTCCATCTGTCTGGGTGCGGCCCCTCCGAACAACACCGGCTTCTAATCATGAGTGTCCCCATTTCAGCCAGCTTAATGGTCCCTTTTAACCCAGGAATTGACCATTGAGCTCCCAGCAACCCCCCGGTGTTTCTAGGGTCGGGGGGGGGGGGGGGGACTTCCCCCAACCATGGGTCTTCAGGGCCTCAGTTGTTCCCTTCGCTGGCATTCAATTCTGCCTTGTCTCCTTTGCTAAGCCTGTGCCTGGGACAGCGCGGCCTTAGCCAGCCCCTCAGCTCACCCACACCTGGAGGCCCGGGGTCTCCAATTCTTCCTCTTTTTCTTTTTTCATTTATTTTCTTCCTTCTTTTCATCATGACTGCTGCTACAGTGCGGCCTGGCCTCTGGTTTCTGAGTAATCTGACCAGATCCAGCTAGGCCCTTAGCACCCCACTTGTGGACCAGGGACGCCCGACCACATGTCCTGGGTGTTCATGCCATCTGCATCTCACCTGAACGGGGAGCCATTCTTGTTGTAGGCTTTGAGGTGCTGTGTTTTTTTGCGGGTGTTTTCATGGCCTTGGCTATGGGGAGCAAGCCATCCAAGCCTAAATTGTGACTTTTTTCATACAACATGTGGCTGTCACCATCTTGGCTGAGGGCCAGGTGGGTCAGGTGACTTTATCGCCATCTTGGCCGAGGGCCAGGTGGGTCAGGTGACTTTATCACCATCTTGGCCGAGGGCCAGGTGGGTCAGGTGACTTTATCACCATCTTGGCTCTCGGACCTGGCTTTCCCATTCTTAAGTATACCCTGCCTTTCCCCCCAGTGTTCACTGAAATCCTCTTGTTGACTCTGTTACATGTGTTTTGCGCAATGGCATGCCTTTGATAGGGCCCATCAAAGGCATCCACATTGCCCAATTCCTGTTCACTCTTTCTGTGTATAATAATTGTTCATTGCATCTCATTTCAGATAACAAAATCATAAGTCTCATATTTTAAACTGGTATGTACTTTTAAGTCTCTTAAAAATATATTAAGCTGTTCTCTACCATTGTCAGTTCTGCCATCAACCTTATATTACAAACATTTTTTTCTTTTTAGGAGTGTAAATCTTACCTGTTAAGAGCCAGTATAGTCAAGCTCAGACCCAACCTTCCAGACAGATTCTATACTGCAGCTATACCTAATAAACAGCCCTCAACTGCTCAGAGATCTGGGGAATGTGATATTTAAGTATTTAATTATTTAAAAACTTTTTATATGATACCTGTGTGTGATTGTCAGTACACACACGCCACAATATATATGTAGAGGTTAGAGAACAACCCTCAGGAACCAATTTTCTCGTTCCACCAATGGATCCAGGAATCAGATCCAGGACCCTGATTTGTTCAGCAAACACCTTTATTCACTGAGCCTTCTTGTCAGTCTAAGGATTCCTGTTTGATACGCTACAAAATAGTTTTGAAATAAATAAACAAATAGACCTTCCTTGCTCACCCTATATGCTAGGGACCGCATCAAGAGAAGGCTAATGCTGTAAGTGACAGGTTACTACTTAAATTTCAAAGTACAGAACAATTTCTAAGACTATTTTAACTGTGGGAGACACTTTCTCTTCCTCTCTTACTCTAATTATTTGCTTTCATTTATCAAATTAACATGTACAAGTCAAGTGGTTTTCTTATAAGTTTTTGAGAAAACAATTCCCCTTGAATAGTGTTCCAAAATAAACAGTTCAAATAAGATATGCTTTGGGAAAATGTTAATAAACTTGCCTCTGGCGAAAAAAAAAATTAAAAAAATAAAAACTTTTTTATAACAAAAAGAGACAGGTTGGCTCCTAGCAGCAGCTCTCTGCTCCCTCCAAAGAAGAAAGAAGACAAATGGGTGCATAGAACAATGTCCTTCTACAGTTTGCTTCAACTGCTGAGCACTGACCATTGGGCAAAACTGCCTTTCGTCTAAAGTAAAGACCTCTAGATGTGGACAGAATCGCTGGAATCGACAACCTGGCTGCTCAGGTCAAGGTAGGTCTGTCTTCCTACAGATTTCTTAGCCCACAGGGTCTTCTGCAGCCTGACAGGCCTGGCACTAACCAGCGAAGGTCAAGTGCAACCTTCAACGACCATGGAGGACCCAAAAAAGAGTAGCTCTGGGTAACAACCAAGTAAGTTCTTTATCATTTTTTTAATCAGAACTCAAGTAAAATCTTATCCTTCTCAAAGATATCTGACAGTTTGACAGCTGAGAGGTTTTTCCAGGTTACCTCACCTGGAAAATTTCTCTCTTATGCTGCCTTCCATGTGTCTAAAACTTCTGTTTTCACAAATTCGAGGAGCTCTTGTGAGTTCCAGGGAACCGAATTAATGGATATTAAACAGGTCAGATACCCCCTCAATTCCCTGGTCCAAAAATTTTTTTTTCCTTAATTTAACTTTGTTCTTTGTTCTGCCAATACCTTAAACAGGATAAGGGACACCAGACATTTCCGTGCCACAGACACCGGTCGGAAACAAAGAGACCAGCACACAGCCTTCCCAGGTTCCCCCCCCAAAAGATGACACCCACAAATCAGCTGGAAGCAGTCTTGAGAATTAGCCGCCCCAATTCCTTCAAACTGTGGTGTCTAATCTTTTGCTTTTTATTGTAAGGAAGACATGGAAATGTTATACTTTTGGTCTCTGGTCCCTTTATAGGACAAGCCACGCCCACTTTCAGCGACCTCTGACCCCTGCCCCACCATCTTGAATCTCTCTCGCTGTCCCCACTTGGCATGTGCACACGTGTCTCTCTGTCTCTCTCTCTTTCTCTCCCTCTCTCTCTCTCTTGATGGAGGAGAGTCTTCTGTTTTGTGTTAATTTCATTGGCTAAATAAAGAAACTGCCTTGGCCCTTTGATAGGACAGAATATTAGGTAGGCGGAGTAAACAGAACAGAATGCTGGGAGAAAGAAGCCAAGTCAGGCAGTCACCATGATTCTCCCACTCCAGACAGACGCAGGTTAAGATCTTTCCTGGTAAGCCACCTTGTGGTATTACACAGATTGCTAGAAATGGGTTAGATCAATATGTAAGAGCTAGCCAATAAAAGGCTGGAATTAATGGGCCAGGCAGTATTTAAAAGAATACAGTTTCCGTGTAATTATTTCGGGTAAAGCTAGCCATGCGGAGCTGGGCAGGAAGGCAGCCCACTGCTGCTCCTCACTACATTCCCCCCTCCTCTAAATAATAAAGGTTCAATTTTGATTCATACTATGTGTCTGTCACATGTCCGTACCCACGCGCCCACTTGCCATTGGGAACCTGCTGCCACTCGGGTGGTGGGAGCCAGGACCTACCATGAGCCACTCTGGGACCTGGCACCCACCCTGCTGCTCTGCAAGCCTGCCGGGGACTCACCAGCATTTCCCGCCACTAGTTGCTTGGGGAACCGCCCAGGGATCTTGGACAGGCCGCTCAGGAACCACCTGGGGATTTTGGAACATTACATAGTGAAACTCTGCCTAGAATGGAAGGGAAGAAAGGGGCTGGAGAGATGACTGAGCAGTTAAGAACACTGGCTGTTTTTAAAGATCATCTAGGTTTGATGGCCAGAACCCACATGGTGGCTCACAACCATCTGGTAATGCCCTCTTCTGGTGTCTCTGCGTACCATGCACTCATGATGCACAGATATACATGCAAGCAAAATATCCATGCACATATACACACAAAAATGTTTTTAAATGATATAGCTTTCTATATAAAGATAGAGATATGATTATGCATGTGAAAATCGAGCAACATAACCTAATACCAATACTTGATAAAAATGATTTAAAATTACTCATATCTTCAAGATTTAATTATGCTTTAGCTATTATATTTTAGTGTCTATTCTTTGTTTGTAATGCACAGATTGACAGCATACATATTATATGTTGAGTAAGAAGACTGGCCAATAAATTTTATAATACTCAAATGTGCTGATTAGCACATTTATTGTAATGCTTCCTGAGGGGAAAATCGTATATATGAGCACTTCAATTGCTGACTCCAAAATTTTGGTCCAGACCACTTTTCCAAACCAAATAATTTTCAAAGCCCTAAGTGTAGTGTAGCCTATCTTGTGGTCCTTATAGAACCCTTCATAATGGACTCATAATGTGGTAGAAGGAGGGACCCCTAGAAGGCTGTGAGAAAGAAAAACAAGAAACAGCCATGAGGTCTGGTCAGTGTCCAGCACAGGCATGTGTGCAAGTTGTCACATGCTCAACTGACCACATAGCTCCCCTGAAGCCCCTTGCCTTTGCCCTCCTTCTCATTCTAGCAATCACTGCCTCCTACTCTAAAATAGCCAAATCACAATGTATTTAGCTAGAAGACACAAAAAATGTATAAAAGTCCCAATCTTTGAATAGTGAAGGGTTTGGAATTTTGGGACTAATATACCCTGGGCCTTGTTGTACACATAGAGTAAAACTGTTCCTTAGAACACAGCCTGGGCATTTCTTCCCTTGGTTTCCCACAGCAGTGACAAGACTGTGAGCATAATGGCATCTCCTTCCTACTTCAATTTATGTGCCATCCTAAGCCCATTTGACTCTCGCCTAATCCTGGAGCCTGGTTAACTGCTTTATTTTCTGGCCAGAAGAAAGAAAACAAAGATTCACATGCTTGGACATTCCTAGAGCCCAAGTCATTGCCACCCCTGTTTCCAGCTCCAGCTTGAGTTGTCACATGACATAGTGCCACCTAACAGGTAATGGAGGCACAAAGCGAGCCTGAACCCACCAGTGGACATACACAAAAAATAATGTCCTGTAAGGCAGACTTTGACCAAGAGATCAGACACTTGGGAAAGGTGACAGAGGCTTAGGAATGTGGCTCAGTGGCAGAGCGCTCACCTGACTTTATCAAAAGCCCTGGATTTTCTCTCTAGCATCACATAAAATAAACACACATATGCTTTACATTTCCTGCCGCTGACCCTGTTCTCGGGAACTGCAATTTCATTAACTGTGCTTTGAAACATTATGTAACTAACTTTTGTGTTTGCTTTTCGTCTATGCTTACCTTAGTTCCCCTTTTTCTTTACTCATGGTTCCTCATATTGCGTATCCGACTAAGGTGTCACCAGGTAAGGTTTTGTTTCTGGCTCTATTTTCAAGTCCTGAGCAAAGAAACCAGAAGACTTTTAATTTTTAATAAAATGAGCTCTGTGGTAAAAGACAGAACTTCGCTGCTCCTCAAAGGTAGCAGACTTAAAAATAAGATTTCTACAATGGAATAGAGAAACATGTCACAAATAGTCAAAGCCTGATGAAATATAAAAGCCCCTCCACAAACCAAGCCCTTTGTCCTGGAAATTGTATTGAAAACGGATGTTTACTTGTAATGTACATGTTTAGATATAACTAAGGTTTTATTGTTTAGATTTATTTTTCTTATTTTATGTGTACTAATATTTTACCTGCATGTATGTCTGCATCATGTGCATGCCTGGTGTCCACGGAGGCCAGAAAGGGTGCTGGGTCCCCTGGGACTGGACTTACACATGATTGTAAGTCATCATATGGGTGCTGGAAATCACACCTGTGTCCTCTGGAAGAACAGTCAGTGCTTCTAACCACTGAGCAGTCCCATAAGCAATATTTTCAATAAAACATTAAATACATTTATAAAAATAATAATATATTTTATGAGATCCTAGGGATTCTATAGTATGACCAAAACCAAGAAGCTAAAAAGAGAAAATAAGGAAATGTCAGTCACTAATCACATTTGCAGGAAAAAGAAAACATAAACAAAGCTAAATGAAGCAGTTCTCCACCAGGCCTCCTACTTTGATGGGAGCAGTATCTATTGAAATTACCCAAATTCCAGACCGTTAAATAAACAACCTTCTATAAAGATGCTGATCGTAATCAACATTGATCTTAGGGAGAAAATGCTATAAGCAGGAGACATTAAGAATCTGTTGTGCTTATTAATTCTATTTTGCACAGTAATAAATTATCATTCTGTGTTTTATTTTGAAAAGGAAGTCCCATTTTATTTGACAACAAGCTATACCCTCCGCAAGCTCAGTAGGCTGAGTAAATGAGGAGGCCCCAAGCTCAAACAAAGCTGCCTTTATTAGAGCTCCTCTTTCACCTTCCAGGATGGTAATGGTCGGCCCACTCTCAATAGGAGATCAAATTACAGTTGCAGGAACCTATGCACACAGAGTTAGCCCTCCACCAGGGCTTCCATCCCTGGCCTTCCCTCCCAATGCTCCCACGCCCCTCTTCAAGCACACACATGGCCCAAACTCTCAACACAAACCTGACAAGGCCCCATTGGAGAGGGTGAGGCACTGTGGGTTGTAAATGCCCCTTCCCTGCCCCCACCTCGGCCTCAGCCTGAGCACACAGGAGACCTAACAATAAAGCTGAGACTGTTCTGGCTCAAAAGCAAGGAAGAGCCACAACTTAAGCAGACAAACCAGGGACAAACTTCAGTCTGGGATGTGGGGTAAGTGTGATGTAAGTACCAGCATGAAAAAATAATCTTATGTTTTCGCTATGTTCAAAGCCACTCTCCAGAGAACCTAGCAAAACCAGAGTCAAGAACATGAAATGTATATCACTTGCATCAACTATCTACCCCACGCTGGAGAATCTTTAGAAACAAGGCTGATGAAGTATGAATTAAAGAAAGAAAGCCTGTTCCCTGAGTCTTGAAAAGTTCGGCTTCATGGGGAGTGGGGACGATTTAACCAAATGAGCCCCATTCTTAGAAAATTATCCTTGAGTGCACATTTAGATGGACACAGATCCTAAAAGTGTTTGATGAGAAAATCAAAATAGCAGGCTATCCCCTGAGTCTCTTAACATCATCCTATAGTGGCATTTCACTTGTGTTTTAGTAAATAAAACTTGCTTGAGGATCAGAAAAGTAAAACAGCCACACTGGCCAGCCTTCTAAACCAGGCCGCAATAACACACACCTTTCATCCCAGTAGCCACACTAGTTGCCATAGAAACCAGGTGGTAATGGTGAATGCCCTTAATCCCAGCACTAGAGAAGATTATAAAACAGGAGGAGACAGCTCTCAGTCACAGTCTCATTCTGCGATTCCTGGAGGCAGGATCACCATTTCGAACTGAGGTGGAGGTAAGAGCCAGTAACTGTTTTGCTTTTTGGATCTTCTGGTTGAATCCCAATTTCTCTCTCTGAGTTTTTATTAATCGTACTTTATCATCCTTAAAAGGAGAAGAAACTGACTTCTCCCTGAACACAGACAATCACAGGCCAGGATCCTGCTCTTCCTAAAATGAGAGCTGCAATCTTCCAGGTAAACACTGGTGCATCAGGAAGTGAGCCACACCCCACACTAGGCTCACCCAGCACTTGTTGGATCCAGCTTATCTTATAATCAACCTAAATAAAAACAAGCAAATCAGGAGCAGAAGGAGAGAGAGCACAAGCAAGGAACTCAGGACCGCGAGGGGGGCACCCACACACTGAGACAATGGGGATGTTCTATCGGGAACTCACCAAGGCCAGCTGGCCTGGGTCTGAAAAAGCATGGGTTAAAACCGGTCTCGCTGAACATAGCGGACTATGAGGACTACTGAGAACTCAAGAACAATGGCAATGGGTTTTTGATCCTATTGCACCTATTGGTTTTGTGGGAGCCTAGGCAGTTTGGATGCTTACCTTACTAGACCTGGATGGAGGTGGGTGGTCCTTGGACTTCCCACAGGGCAGGGAATCCTGATTGCTCTTTGGGCTGACAAGGGAGGGGGACTTGATTGGGGGAGGGGGAGGGAAAGGGGAGGCGGCTGGGGGGAAGAGACAGAAATCTTAAATAAATAAATTTAAAAAAAAGAAAATGAAACACCAGAGAGAGATTAACCAAAGAATTCTGATTCTTATTTGAGAGTAACAAGGGACATTATCACTCAAATCCACAGAGCACCATACTCAAAGAGTCTGAGGCGAAGCAAGCAATAATTCCTGACCACAGTGATTGATAAGAAGTGTAGCATCAATCGAGTGTTGAGCAGAGGGCTCCTGGGCAGACAACCTTCTTAAAGGGCTCTTTGTGTCAGGTTTAGCAGCATCTACACATGCCTGTGGTTCTGCTAATCTTCTGGTATTCTCGAACAATTATCTGTGGGAATCCTTCCCTAATAACCTGTCAGCTCCATTGATGTTTTATGAATATTTCTATAAGGACCTCCTCTTTAATCCTGACACAGGTTCACCAGCCTGCTCTCTGAAGCTGAAGTCCCACCTCCAGGCCTTTCTTCCACCCGTCTTCCCTCAATAATCTTCAGACCCTTTGTTTCTTATTCTTCAAACTTCCCCTTCCCCTTAAAACATTCCCAGGGTACCACTGTATACAGCAGTTTCTGCTGCCTCTTAGCACCAATAGGAAGCGTTTGCCCATGACTAGAAGATCTTCTGGATTTTATAAACATACAAAAATAGTCTTTAATTTTATGTATTCTCTCTCTCTCTCTCTCTCTCTCTCTCTCTCTCTCTCACACACACACACACACACACACACACACACGAAGACAATGTCTTTTCTTTTCTCTGTTACTTAAACATAACTTTATTGATAAAGCACAACTCTTAGATGAACAAATTTAAACAAATACAAAAGTATAGCTCATTTATGGCATATAGTTACTTCACTGTCAGTTTGGGCAACCAATAAAAATATCTCCACGTAGGTAAGCAAGTTGAATTCATAAATGCTTTCTTTGTGTAAGCTCTCATATGTATTTGGCATATTTAAGATGGCTCAGTCTAAAGCCAGCATCAAGGGCTATTGACAATCTGTGATGCTCGTCATCCCTAAATAGCAGCTCAGAGAATCTCTTTGCCACGCAAGCACAATGAAAATCGGAGACGTTACAAAGCACATTGTCCCCACGTGCAGACTGAAGAAACGTTATGTCAGCAGGGCTTGGGGCACATGACAAATTACAGTTTGGTTAGCACTTTGAGAACTTTCACTTTGACCACCAGATCCTTATGACTAGCTAATGCTCTGATTTTTTTAACACAAACTCCAGACTCCTTGAATAAAAAAAATAGCGAGCTCCTGCTGAATTCTTTCCGGGAGGATGCAAGCCCTTCACTTTTTATGTTGTCATTTATATTCTCAAAAAGGGTAAGGATGTTAAGAAGAATCTCTCTATCCCATTCCTTGTTAAAGAGGGAAATCAATTCTGATGGTACTTTACAACTGACCAGCTCTCTTGTCATGGCTGGATTTTCAGTAAAGTTTATAATTAGTTTCATAGTCTGTATCTTGGTGAAGTGATTTCCCAGGAATAACAAGGCAAAAAAGTCTGGAAAAGAATAGGACAGCAAATGTTGGTAATGATTGGTCACAGTCATGTTGGTTAGCAATCTTAGTCCAGCCATCTGCACGGCTGAGTCCAGGCGACAGATCATGGTGTCGTCACACACTTGACTGATGTAAGTCTTAATCTTGCCCTGATTTTCGGAATTAACACTCAAGTTATTAAGGGCATTGTAAGTCTTTTCCCTAATAATGGGGTCTTTTGTTTTTATCAGTTTTGCGATAATTGGGACCCCACCCAATTCACGTATGGCATTTTGATTAAATGAATATGCTGCATTGTTACCCAGTGTGACCAAGGCCACCTCCTGAGTAAAAGGGTCATTTGTTCTCTCCAAGATGTTAAGGACCTTTTGAAGGTCAGGAGCACTCAGAATATCATCAATTTTATAGGGAAAACTGAACTTGGTCCTGCGTACAGGCCACACTGTGGCTGGAGTCTTGGTGCTCTTAGTTCGATTCTTTTTCTTCGGTTTTCCACTTGCCCTGTTTTTAGCCCTAGAGCCACTCCTGCCCGGGTGGCAACCTCCACCCCTGCCTCCTGGGCAGGGCAAACTTGATGTCAGGGTCCTTCTCCCAGAGATATTACCAATCCTGATCCCTCTGCCTGCCTTCGCACTTGCTTGTTCCTTCAGGATCTTGAAAAGGGCCTTAGCCTTAGCTTCTAGGCCCCCTCCACCCTGGGATTCTGGGTGTGCTTCCTTCTTTACACCTGGACCATTCTCAGGTCCCACATCTACATCAGCCTTGGCCTTTGAGTCATCCTGAGGTTTGTCTCCTGCCTCCACCCCAACATTAGTTTTAACTCCTTTCTCAGTTTTGCCCCCCGTTTCCAGTTTGTCACTACGAGACTCTTCCACCTCTTCCTCCTCCACTTCCTCCTCTTCATCATCCCACAGTTTCTCATTCTCGTCTTTTCCCCAAGTCAGTCTGTATACACAGTAGCAGGCACCAGCCCCAATGACCATGCCCGCAGCCACACATCCGGCTTCCCGGGTGCGGCCCATGGTACAGCTGGGGTGAATTCCTTAACCTGGATACAAAGCTGGCTTGCTCTGGTCCACAATATTCCCAGGTCAGGGGTAAAGTCTTCCGATTTTGTAGGTAGGAGAAGCTACAACAGCAGATACAGTGAGACCTGGAGGGAAAGAAGATTTCAGACTTGTGACTTATCCAATTGTGCCTTTGTACATAAGGAGACTGAATCACTTGCCTGCAAACATACAAACAATACAGAGATACTGGCTAGCATTGGGGACTTGGTATCCTCTTCATTATTCCTTTCCTTTATCTGGAAGCAACTTTAGAAATTTTCCAAACACCCAGATTCTCCAATCTTATGTTCTTCTACCCATCCCAAGAATGCTAAATTGAATAAATTGATATGTTGCTTATCATCTTTACCCTTCCAGATGTCCTGAGTCAGGGTCACAGGGTCACCCTCACAAACACTACCAGAGATCCCAGTAGTCCCTTCCTTCTTTCCAGCTTCTTGCAGATCTGCAAACAAAAGAATACAGAGGTCTGATCTGAGAATTCAAGAACCAGATAAATCACACCCAACCCAGGATATAATCCATCTCCCAGGCCCTTGTCCTTTGCTACAGTCTTTCTTAACTTCTATTACCTTCCTCAGTGCACAGGAATATGGCATTATCTCCTTCCCCTTCCTCCTTGGATGATCAGTCTCCTGCCCCTTCCCCACTACTCTATCTGACACCTCTCCCAAAGATGACAATATCCACCCTTCCTTGTAAAATGGAAGCAGTACCTAGAAATCAGTTACACTGTAAGTGCATCCACACTTGCTTCTGCCACCCCGACGATCTCAAAGAGAGCCTCTCATTCGATCTGCGAGATTTCTTTCCTCCCTCATCTCAGCTTCTAAGTTCACCAAACTTAAGGACTAACAAACTGGGTGCCTATTAGACCAACACCAAGGACACTGTACCTCACAGTATTTTAGAATAATGTCTTCCCTGACTCCAACCCAGCACTCGCTACAGTTAGTCCCACCTAACCATCTCCTCAGCTTCTTATCTGCAAAATGCTTCCCTTGCTAAGCTCAGGACCAAAGTAAAGAGATGCAGGGAAAGTCTAAATCCACTCGAGTTCATTGTCATCATTATTGTCTACCCCAGTAGCCTTCCCGCCCTGCACCCCAAACAGTGTCATCACGTTTCTTCCGACCTACTTGATTCTGGAAATCGGTTCTGCCTCCCTGCTTCTCATTCGGACTGGTCTTCAGGAGCAAGATCCAACAGATACAGGCGCTTAAGCAGAGGCAGAACACAAAACTTAGACCGTCTAAATGCCAGCGTTCCCAAACCTGACCTGGTTGATCAGACACGGCTTTCACGCTTTTATTTCTCACCCAAACCCCAGTTCTCTAGACTCCGCTGACACCACCCTGACTCTATAGTACTACATCCTGGCATTCCTTTATGCGGTGGTCGGCCATTTTCCCAGCAAAAACCACACCCCTTTGGGAAGCGCAGGGCTGGAGGCGGGCCCAGCGAGTAAGAAAAAACGCGAGCTATGGAAGATGACAGATCTCTTCTGTTCTTCCCAACCCAGCCCACCCCCAAAGATAGCCATTTTTTTTCTGAAGGACTATGAGAGCTGTTCTTTTTCCTGAGGCGGGGACATGGGAGGAAAGGCACGTAGATTGCTAGAGTCAGTAATGATCCCGAGTTATGATAAAGCCCTAAGCCATCACCACCCTTTTATGGTCCCTGGGCAAACTCAGCTTTTAGACTGACATGCAGAACTTCGATGTCGATTATCCCTTAGCTCTTAAAGGTACTGCGCCCTACTTAATGGCAGAGAATAACAGTCTTCACTGCTTCTAAATTCTGTCTTCGTGGATGGATCCATGCACCAATTCATAATAGTTGCCCTTCCAGATTCAGAACATGCCAAAGACCCCCCCCCCCAAACTCCCAAACCCTAATCTGGGGTCTCCCCTGAAATCTCTCCCTCCAATGTACCCCGTTTTTTGTTTTGAGTTTTTGTTTTTTTGTTCTAAGACGGTCCGAAGACATTGCAAGAGCGTGAAGGGAGCAGACTGAGTGGCTAGCATCTCTGTCAACAGCTACCCAGAAGACAGCGATCCCAGACATCCCCCATCGGCAACACAGACCTGTTAGGATCCAGGCAACTTCTCCTGCTTCCGCAGCACGCCTGCCCGCTCAGCAAGAACACCGAGAGAGCAAACACCAAACGTAGAGCAGAATTAAAACTAAGTCTGCACACGTCGGCTTCTGCTCACGTGACGGGTCGCGTCACCAGTGAGATCAAGACACCAACTACACTCCCGCCAGCACTGCGACAGGAGGCAGCATTTCCCCGTCCTTCCCTGCCACACCAGGTCCTGATACTCATTTCCTCTTTGTTTTGTTCCCAAACTAGGAGCTTCTTTTGTGGTTAGAATTTGCCTTTCTATGGTTAACACAGAGGCCTTTTCTTTCTCTTCTAGGAATAATCCTGGCTTTTCTCTATTCCTGCCTCAAACGCTTTTCCCTTCTTCCCTCCCCCTTTCAGCTGGGAAAGCCCAGCGTTTCCCGGGCACTCCTATACCAAATAGGATTTCAGAAAAGGAGACAGGGAGTGGAATTATGTTTTTTAACATTTTCTGCCCATTTGTTAAAAATCAGCTTTACTTTTACATTGAGGATATAAAATTATGTTTTTCATTTGTGTGAAAAAAATTGAAGTAAAAGAGGAGAACCCAGGGGACCTAACTAATTGTAATATATATGCATTTATCACACAAACATTTTCTACTGATTGCAAATAGTTGCTTTCAAAATGCACTAATTTGTTTTTAAAACTGAAAACTGGAATGTTTTGAATGACTTATGAATATTCTAAGAAAAGATGGCTAGTTGTCTGATTTGAACCATTTTATACAAACTGCTCCATTTTTTTCTACTATTGCCTCAACTTGCAATTTGGTAAAAATAAAAGCAACATAATCAATCCTAATTTATTTAATTAAAGTAAAACATGTATTTAAGTACCCAATATCTTTACTGCTTGCTACAAGAAAGGTTTGATGGCGCTAAACACCTGCCCCTGGATTAGATTGCAGTCTACTGAAGCTGAGACAGCTGAGAGTGAGGGGGGGGTCCCCATTCTCCTTGCCCTACCAAGTGAGGAATGTGCTGCCTCCTACATTCCAGAGCCTCTCGTTCCCTGTGTTTGAGCAGCTGTTTGTTGCTCAGTCCAAATACACACACACATACCCATGCATACACGCATGGGTAACTATAATAATATATGTCACCTTTATTCAGACAGCACACTTAAGTGAATATATCTGGCTCCTGCAATGCCTTTCCCCAAATTCCCAATAAGTATCTAGGCATTGCACAGGAGACCTTACTGTTTTCGCCTCCCTCTCTGCCCTTATTCATGGTGCTCCTGGTCCTGCTGCTAGCAGTACCTAAGAATACAGCTTGCTAGGCCTCTCTGGCCTCCTGAAGTCCCGGAGATCCTGGAAGAACCTAAGCTTATTTCAGGGTCACTGCCGACAAGTTCACAGTCACATTGATGACTGTTTGGCCAAATGTATTCCCAGGCCTACTGCCAACACTGACCACACTTAACCTAGAGCAGGCAGTTTCATCTGGACAACTGTTACCTAAAGTTGTGTTGAGACTCTGTGCATACAGTTGTTCATTTTAATAGGGAAAAGAGTAAGAGCTTTTACCAGACACTTACGAGTTACAAACAACTGGAAAACCCCTAAACCCAACCACTCAAAAAATATAGATATATATTCCCTCATAGACTTGCTTATCCTATGAACACTAATTTCCTTTAAATCTGTGCAAAAGTGCAATACTATATAGAGACATCCCTGGTTTTTTCCTTGTGCAAATAGAAAGAATTAAATGACCTACAGAAAAAAAGTTGATGCAGCACTTCCAATAAACCTGCATTTTAATTTGAGAAGTGACATCTTTTTAAAATGGAGCCTTTCTGTAACACATTTATATCAAGAAAACATAAGGAACTCAAACAATTCAGAAATTGGGGAAAATAAAATAAATAATCCAACTGTTTAAAGGAACAAAGAATCTGAGCAGACATTTTTACTTAAAAAAGATTGAAATATCCAACAGATTATATGGAAAAATGCTCAATAACAAGCTGAGACATCACCTCATTTTAAGTATGAATTTCTCTTCTCAAAAAGAGAAAAACAACTACTGGGAAGGATGTTGAGAATTTGAACCCTGGTACAATAATCTGCTGAGGAATAGAAAATAGTGTAACAATTATAGAAATCAGTAAGAATTTGTTTCCAACAGTCAAAAAAGTGTAAGTATTGTCTTAGTTATGTTTCATTGTTGTGATAAAACACTGACTAAAAAAAGCAGTCAACAAAGTCATTGTATGTTATTAAAAAGCAAACAAAAAAGAACACTTACTAACTTCCAACTTGAGGAAGAAAGTGTTTTTCCATGTTCAAATTTTCAGGTAGTTGAGGAAAGCTAAGATAGGAGCTCAAGACAGGAACTTAGAGGCAAGAACGAGCTGAAGCGGAGACCGTGGAGGAGTGCTACCTTCCGGCTTGCTCTCCATGGTGGGTTGGATCCCCCCACATCAACCAGTAATCAAGAAAATAGCTCCACAGGCTTGCCTGTAGGTCAGTCTGATGGAGACACTTCTCAATTGAGGTCCCCTCTTCACAAATATGTCTAGATGTGTGTCAAGTGGACAAAAACAACTAACTAGCACACATGCACTCATATATACATGCACACACACACATGCACACATGCACACACATAAATATACAAGGGAGAGAAAGAGATTGCAAAGAGATAAAGAGATGTCTGCCTGCACTCTGATGTTCATTGGAGCATCATTCACATTAGCCACAATATAGCAACAACTAACAGATGACTGAGAAAAGAAAATGTAGAATACACAGCAGGATAGCAGGGTATTCAGCCTTAGGGAAAGAAGGAAATCTTGCCATATGTGATGATATGGATAGCTCTTAGAAAGATCATGTTAGGTAAAACAAGCTGACAGAAGGACAAATAGTGTGGGATCTAAAACAGTCAAACTCATAGATTCCAAGAGTTTGTCAGGGGCTCAACAGAAGGGAAAATAGGAAATTGTTCTTAAATAGGCAAAATGCTTCAGTTATATGACATGAATAAGTTTTAGAGCTCTACTGAACAACATTGTTCCTAAAATGAACAGAACTGAAAATTATGGATAATACATCATGGATAATGGCTTCTTCACTAAAACTGTGTAAAGCTGACCAAAAGACTCACAGTCAAAGGAAAAATACCTTTGTCACATTTAGCCAAATAAATGTGAATTTTATATATCACAAGTTAAAATAGAATGACTATCATGGATTTTGCAATTTTCTCACAAGCTTTATTTTCCCTTTAGCTAATTAGCTACTAGTCCAAATTGCGGTTATCTGCTTCATTCCCAAGAACTATTATTTGTATATTTCAATGTTATACTATTTAGCAAAGTTTCCTGTTATATATTCTTATTGAATCATAATATTTTAAAATACAAAATAACTTTTTGTACTAATTAATTCATTTTGCTTAGTTTATCCAAAATTAATTTTAACAATCCTATTTAAATTCTCATGCCTTTGATCCTTTCCCATTTCATTTTCAGTCTTTCTATGTCTATTTTTATGTGTCTTATAAAGCATAGTTTAGTTTTCTATAAAATCAAACTGAAAGTACTCTAGTTGGGGGATTCAGCCATCCATATTAATTATAATTGCATATTTGAGGCCTTATCCCTGACATCTTATGTTGTGTTTTCTATTTTGTACAATTTTTTGTTGTTGCATCTTATGGGTTCTTCCTGATATGTGCCTTTCCCTTTTACCACTGAAAACTTCTATACTATAGAATAATTTTATTGGTAGTTACAATCATTCATACATACACACACACACATATATAAGTATAATAATAAAAGTATGTATATATATACTTTTTTTGGATTTTCGAGACAGGGTTTCTCTGTGGTTTTGGAGCCTGTCCTGGAACTAGCTCTTGTAGACTCACAGAGATCCTCCTGCCTCTGCCTCCCGAGTGCTGGGATTAAAGGCGTGCACCACCACTGCCCGGCTATATATACTTTTAATATTATATTTAATATAATATTATTAATATATACATACATACACACATACTTTTTTGGTTTTCCAAGACAGGGTTTCTCTGTATAGCTTTCACTATCCTGGAACTTTACCTGTAGACCAGACTGGCCTCAAACTCACAGAGATCTGCCTGCATCATCACTTCCCAGCAACAATTATATTTTCATCAAGCATGTAAACATATTTTCTGCCAATATCACAATTTAATCACTATCCACAACTACCCTAACCTCCAGCAAGATATGATTTTTAAAGATTTGTTGTTGTTGTTGTTGTTATTATTATTATTACTGTTGGGGATAGTGATGTGGGAGTGATTTCTTTCTAATCTGTTGCTTTCATAACTGCCTAGGCCCATTTGATAGGCCAACCCTTAGGTGAGTAGAGTAAACAGAACAGAATGCTGGGAGAAAGAAGCTGAGTCAAGGAGTCGCCATGGTTCTCCCACTCCAGACAGATGCAGGTTAAGATCTTTCCTGGTAAGCGCACCTCATGGTGCTACATAGATTATTAGAAATGGGTTAAGAGGATGAAACTAATGGGCCAGGCAGTGTTTAAAAGAATACAGTTTCCGTGTAATTATTTCGCGTAAAGCTAGCCGTGTGGGCGGCCGGGTGGCAGGAAGTGACCCGCCGCCAATCTTATTACAACAGGATAGCACATGTGTGTATGACTACAGGCGCCCTCAGAGGTCAGAAGTCTCTGATATCCCTGGAGCTAGAGTTAAAAAGAATTGTCATTGGCCACATATGGGTTCTGGGAACTAAACTCAGGTACCTACAAGAGCAATAGTTGCTCTTGATTGCCAAGCCATTTCTTCAGTTCAACATATGTCTTTTAATATTGTATCCTAATTCCAATTGCAAATTTGTTTGTATCATTTTGAGTATAGAGGCACAATAATATCATTATATTATTATAGTACATCACTATAATTTTAGAAGTTCTTTCTCAACAATTACATCAAACTTTATAGAATATTTCTGTACTGGCTAGTTTTGTATGTCTACTTAACACAAATTAGAATCATCAGAGATAAAGGAGCCTCAATTGAAAAAATGCCTCCCTGAGATTCAGCTCTAAGGCAGTTTCTCAATTAGTGATCAATGGGCAAGGGCCTAGCGCATT